GAAACATTTTTTGAAAAGATTGTTTTAGAAAAATTTGGCCTCAAAAATTTTTAAAAAAAAAAAAAAAAAAAAAAAAAAAAGTCGTACATACATAGGCCACACTTGCTGCTGGTCTCCACATTATAACATGAGATAATAACACATAAAGATTTTCTAACATAAAAAAATGCGTATCTACGACGTACACAAATACATTATATGCTTTTTCCAAACAGTACATGTAACACAACAGCTTAAAAAAATAAAACACAAAGCCAACCAGGAAGAATCATTTCTTAGCAGAGATCTTAGTCCTTTTTACACAACTCCGAGGACAGTCATATTTTGCACAATAAGAAACAAGAGATGGCGTGCCGCACCTCTCCTTTTATCTCCCAGATATTTCAGAGGAGCAGCTCAAGGTCTTGAGGGACAAAATGACGTCCAACCAATGCAGAAACCAGGGTTACGTCCTTGATGCTTTTCCCAACTCGTACAAGCAAGCCGAGGACCTGTTTGAAGGTAAGAAGGACATGCTACCTCCACATGCATCTTCACAGCGCCTTGCAAAGTATTCATATCCCTTGAACTTTTTCACATTTGGTCTTATTTAGAAAACTCATATTTAATTTGAATTTTACGATGCGTAAAGAAGTGCATCATTTTCCGTTCTGTTTAGAAAACGATAAATGCAATAATTTCATTTTTTGCAGAAGCTACAAATGGAAACTTGTAAGGTGGTATTTGTCTCTACCGGTTTTGTACATCTCCTGGTTGAGACTCTTACTCATTTTGCATGCGACCCATGTGCAGAGGCCTCAGTCCAGCTGGCACAGATTTGAGTCTCGGCCCGTTGTTCTTTGCTGCATATCTTCCCTCTCTCTCACAACCCTCTTTCCAATCTACTGTGAAATAAAGTCCAAAAAACTCGTTTACGGGAAAAAAACCCCACTGATTTTTCTTTTTTTTTTCTCCAGGGATAGGGCACCAAAACTGGCTCCAGCCCAGAGGCTCTTATTCTTCTAAATACGGCCCTGGTCTTGATGTTGCTATTTGTTCTCTAACCAACCTCTGAGGCCCTCACAAAGCAGTTAGATTTATAATAGACATAATCCCACTTAAGTTGACTTCATTTACTAATTGGACAATGTGGTTGCACTCAATGGGTATGAACACTTGGTCAAGGCCCTGCACATGTACAGCAAACAAAGAATAAATCACTTCTTCATCTTCAGACGAGCAGGAAGAGTTCTCCGAAAAGTTCACACCAGGTAGATTTGCTCCATCATCATTGGCTTGTTTTGTCAGGCGACCCTGGATTAACATGGAGCTCCTTGTTTTGGCTGCAGAGTTTGTGTTGGTTCTGGACGCCACCGAATCCTTCCTGACAGACCGAGTGATCAACCTCCCCGAGGAAACGGTACAAGACCTCGGCTACGAGCCGGAGAAGTTCCTAAGCCGGCTGGCCATCTACAGAGAAAACATGCAGGAGGAAAAGTCGGTTCTCAACTATTTTGAGGAGCTGGATATCATCCCTGTGCTCTTGGGTAACGTGATGGAGGACAACGTCTCGTGTAGAGATGCACGATCTCATATAGACATTTGTACCAGTTCTGATACTCAACAAAATTCTTGATTGGGTATTGGTGACGATGTGTCCCGTTCATAAGGTCAGATCTATTCAGTCTAATTCCACACTTTGTGCTCTGAATGCTTTATTTAATTTACAATTTGCCCCTTTTGAACCATTAGAAAAAAAAAAAGTTTGTTGCAGTTTATTTTTACATGTTTGACTAACGTAGTCAACCTATTGCACCTGCAGCGACTGAACAAATTAAAGTTGTGTTGTTTGGCTGTTGGTGTATTTAAATATACTGTACTGCTGCACAGTTATAAAATACATTTGTAATTCAGTACATTTATGTCGGTTTTAAAAGAAACATTTTCAGTCAGTCCAGCACTGTTTTTCTGTATCGGATTGGTATCAGACGGTACTAAACCTCAGATATCGGTACTGGGTGTGAGACAGAGTGGATCGGTGCATCCTTAATCCAGTGTGGGTGACTAGAGGAAGGATTCTGTAGTTCAGTTCACTTCCCTGTGTTTCAGAGGCCACAAATGGCGAAGAACCCGCCACCTCGCTCCTGATGCGTAAGATCTTCACCACAATGGGCCCCCCTAGAACATACAGTCCCAGCCCTCAGGAAGTGGAGGAGGAGGAAAGGAGAATAGCAGAAGAGAAGATGAAGAAAGAGGCAGAGGAGAGGGCTGTGGAGGCGCGAAAAGAGGAGGAAGAGGCCAGGAGCAGGGCTGCACGCTGGGAGGAGTGGGTAGGTGGACACGATTCATCAGACGCACGTCATGTCAGTTAAGAAATCAAACTGTTTCCTGTCTGACGGTCTATGTGGTGCATATGAGAAGCATCAGATGTAAACGTGAGACAGTCGTAAAGTGAACGACTTAACACCTCCGCATTATTTAGAAACGTTTGCCGACTGTCAGCCTTCAGAACCCTTAAACAGCTCCAGTCCGATGTTTGTGTTTCAGACTCAGAGTTCAGAGGAGGTGAGGATGCTGGAGGAGCTGCACATGGCCAACCTGACTGACCAGATGAGAAGCTATCTGATGAAGAGCGTCATGCCAACGCTGGGAAAGGGTCTGATCGAGTGCTGCAGAACGCAGCCGGCGGAGCCCCTGGACTTCCTGGTACTGCTCGGCTTCAAGTCGGTCACTTTTCTGAACATCTGCTGCTATAAGGGAGTCAACGTGGAAAATGAGCATGGGCAAGATTGTAGGGAAAAATTCAATCTAATGGGAGTTAATTTCCCCCATTGGATTTCAATTTCCAACTGATAAGAAAAAGAAGGAAGACATATTCATCTACAGCATGTACAGTTCTTCTTCTCAGCTGTCAAAAAGACAAAAGCTCCTTTCTGTAAGAATTGAAGCTGGTTGTTAACAGTCCGACTCCCAGATGCCAGGAGGAATCTTATTCTAATGTTCTTACTGAGACTTATGTTTTTATAATCTCAGAGTGGAGAATTGGAAGAGAAATTATATTTTCAAAGATTATGAAACACAAGAGAAACTACCGGCGCTTTACTAAATACTCTCAGGTTAAGTAAAACGACCTATTTGGATGCGATATGTGCTGTCATCGTTTTCCTGGGCCATAAAACCTGCTGCATCCCCACACTTCCCTAATTCTCATGTCTTTGGCTTAGAGACACATCTGGAACCAGAGGAAGGCACTGACTATGCCCACCACTAAGGACACGTTAAAATAAAACAAAAGCTGCGTTCTGTTTGTTCTTATGTGTTTGGGATGTCTGGTCCTTCTTTACTTCTGATTTAGGATCCGGTGAAACTCTTAGGAAAGATACTGAGGACACAAATGCACATCTGGGTCATGAAAAACAAAAAGAGTGTTACAGAGCTTCACTCAGTAACAGAAAACTAGGAACCTTGTTCACATCGAACTCTACACACAAGTTGATCAGACGGGGTTCATCTTCTTTCACTTTTCCCGTTATTAAGAAGAAAAAATAATACAAGGTGTGGCTTCCTGTACAGGAAATTAAACTTGTACAGTTGCAGAGTGTCAGTGGTTGTTTTCATCAGCAAAATGATACAAACCCCCCCCTGCAAAGTCAGAAAACATGAATTATTAGAGGAATCTGACAGGGCAGCTGAAGTGAAAAGGAGAGCAAATAATCTTTGTAATTGAAAGGTTAAAAAGCAAAACGAGGTTTATTTCTGCTCCGTGATGCATTTTGGTGTGTCTCGTTCCAGGCGGAGTTCCTGTTCCGGAACAACCCGCATGACCACCCCCCGAGTGGCGAGGACTCATCCGAGAACCCTGATTTTCCTGCGCTGTTTGATTAAACTGAGCATTTATTTGTTGAGGGAAACCTGGTTGAGTCGCTGTGTTTTTCTCCCACTGGATGTGAGCAGTGTTTGGACTCTTGAGTACCGGCCGTGACTGCAAAACAACCATTTCAACGTGTGCATGAATCCAGGAGCTCATTAGAAAGTTAATTTGTTTAATGAACTCAGGAGCAACGACGCTCCAGTCATCGCCGCTCGGATTTGGCTGCAGATATCTGGGACGGAGAAACGGTGCAAAAGGCAGCTAATTTGCAGGTCTCTGGAGTTCCCACTCACAGCTCCAAAGTGTTCATAATTAGCCGTATCAGAAGCCCAAATAATTTCATTGAACATAATCGCTACGCTGGGAAATTAGAGAGAAACACTGTGACAAACAACACAACATGAAGAGAAAAGAGCAATTCACTTTCTGTAATAAATATGTTGGCACAATGTTTGAACGGCTTCCCGAGTCTCTGTCATCGACTTGTTCCTGTAAAATATGTGTTTGTTGTACACAACACACCATATGCATTACCTCTGCAGAGGTAATGTATGGTCATTTATGTGCCAATTCAGCACCTTTAAAATGTTTGGCGTGTCACAACAAACACCTGATACCAACTGCCAAACTGCCAAGCACAGTGGTGGAGACATGGTGATGTGGGCTTGTTCTGCTGCCACAGAACCTGTGAATAGAGTAGAATATGCTTCATTGATTCCCAAGGGGAAATTGCTTAATATTCTATTATCTTGATTAATAATAATAATAATAATAATAATAATAATAATAATAATAATAATAATAATAATAATAATAATAATGGACATCCCTGGAAAAGATATGGTCTGAAAGGTTTCTCTCATCTTCCTCCTGCCGATATTTATGCAGTCTAATGGATGCTTTAGATGAAACGAATTTAATGTTTGAATTGACCAGATTTATTCTGTATGAACACTAGGGGGATTTGATTGACTGATTTGATTTTAACATTCTTCTTGAGCTACTTGGAATGCTAATGTAAACATTTAGTCCAAGCTTGAACCATCCGAAATACGTCAAAATCTCAAAAGACATTTAAGCATGAAACTTTTCTTTGCACTTTGCAATTCTTCACACTAATCAGACCTGAGTGCATTTTGTTTTTTTAACCATTTTATTTCCAATAATCAAAAGAGACTGCATGTTCAGAGAGCTGAAACTCAGCCGGTTTAATGACCCTCTCGCACCACTAGGTGTCAGTCTCAGATCATTTGTTGGGTGTTAGGATTATGACGGAGGGGATAACGTCCTTCTCAGGAGAAGATCAAATTGGGAAAACCGGGTAAACTCTTTGCAGATTTGTCTCTGTGATGTTTGAAATCCCAGTTTTGTTTTTTTTTTGTTTTTTTTTCATCAGATCATTTACATCCCATTTTCCTCAGTTGGACTGAATCCAGCCTCACTTATGCTGGTTTCTGTTTCCGAATAACACCCAATCCAATGTGTAACATCCCTGAGCTCAGACTGAAAACATACCAACACCTACATACACACTTGCACAAGAAAGATGTGTTTGTTGCTTAGAAACAGTTGGCCTGCAGTTGTAACGAGAGCTTTGTTCCTGAACATCATGTGGTCTCCTCCGTTGTTGAGCACAGAAATGATTAAGTTTTGTACCAATACTCATCCTCAGTTTGGCTTCCAGAATCATTAAATAAGAACTTTTTAAAGTCTGTGGAAATCAGAATGTTTTCTGTCACACACCCCCTTTTCTCATGCCAAATTATCAAAGCATTTGATCTGAAGATAGAGTTTGTCTTACAGGTTCTTAGATTATTATATGTAAAATATCTGTGTTCATGACTGAATGAGCAACTCTGAGGGCAAAAATAGACTACAGGTCCCGTCAGGAAAAACAAGGCTGTTCATCTGATTCCAACTTATTTCCATACAAAGAAAATAGCAACAAAAGAACAGCAGAAAAAAATAAATAAGAGCTTAGCAGAGCAGGGACAATTATTCTGTTAAAAAAGTAAATATCATATTTTCAAATAAACATATTTTGAACTAGAATAAAAGTAGAAAAATGTAGTTTTGCACTCCTCTTACGTAAAAAATAGGAGTAGGGTGAATATTTACTGATAATATTTATGTAAAGACAGAACATGAATATCGAACAAGCTCATGAGACGAGACGCAATACTAGGTTTAAAAATTCAGATCCAAATTCTGGTTTAAAATCTAATCACTGTATCATTTTCCAATCCATGTTGGAGTAGTTTTGACTCATCAATTTGTGTTTTTTACTTGTAGCAAAAGGGACTCATGACTCTATGTAGCTGTAAAATTATGATGGTTTAGCATAAAATAAGATTAAACCCATGAGTTATTTTTTCATAAACATCAACAAAGCAAACCAGTAAACAAGTAGAGCATCCTACACATTAATCTGCAACACAAAATAAAAAAGACAACCTATTGGTGAGAATTAAGTTCAGAATCTTGCAGCACTGTCACCTTGCTTTAAGTTTATATTCACTTTCTGGTTTCTGGTGTTTAGTTTGCCCCTTCATGTGACAGTAAAGTTTTGAACCCGCTGAGAACACAGATCCAAGCTGTGAGTTTGGAGAAGGAATGTAATAAATCAAAGGTCTTCACTGCTGCCCAAAGACAAGTGTGTGAGCACCCAGAGGACGCTTTGAGGGGCGGATTGGCCCCTGCCGAGCCCCTGCCTCAGGACGGATGGATGGAGGGATTGTGTTGACAAGGGGGAAAGACAAAGAGGAGGAGTAAGGCGGAGAAGCAGCCACACATTCAGCAGGGAGGCTGAGCGCTGCAGCCAGAAACTCATCAAAGAGCTGGAAACACCTCCAGCAGCCCAGCAAAAGCAGGATGCTCACATATCTGTGTGTGTGTGATGGATGGATGGTGTGTCGAGGGGGATGTTTGGTTCAAACATTGTTCATTAGTAAACTACATGACTGTCCTGCCTGATTGTTGAGGCAGAATATCAGATGGTGATGAGCGATTACTGATCCGACTGTCAGGAAAACTTCACCTTCCCTTCCTGCATGCTGGGATCGCATCTGAGCCGCAGTCTGTGTCACAGAAACATTTCACTGCACTCAGTGTAGGCAGCGTCTTCATGTTTGTACCACAGTCACACGGTCCGGATGTTCAAAACGTCACTGGTCAGACTGGATGGGGAGATTATCGCAAGTCCTAAATGTATTTATTCAATACCCTTACCATAATGAGGTATTCTTTTTCTCTACTAGTTTAACTTTCAGTCACAATTTTAATACGTTGATGTACAAGTTGACTCGATACAGAACTTAAATTTGCTACAAAATTCTGCATTTATAGTACTAGCAAGACTTTTAAACACTGACTTGGTCACACCAGTTAACATTATTGACTGCATTCATTATTTATTCACCTAAAAAGGACAATAAAATAACTTTAATTAGTCAACTAGATGCCCTTGTAGACTCACTATATGTTTTACCTCTTTTAACTGTACAATTTTTGTACCATATTGGTCAAATATAAGTCAACTATAGCGAACCCTATAGTATTCTTGAAATACTAGAGGAGAACAAAACCTGACATCAAGGATCTGAATTATATACACAAATGTCTTGCCGCCTTATAGACTCCTCTAAGTTAGACAATAAACTGAAGCCTCTTTATAAGCATCCAGAAAAACTGCTTTATTTATCAGATATATCTATCTGTGTCTGGACTTAAGTTAAAGTTGCTATGAGTTATTAAAGAAAAAAAAAAAAACATTTAGTTTTTTTCTTTTTATTGAGCTACACAAGTTAGGTTTTAAAAAATCTGAAGGAAACTTCTGAAAAACCTCCTTCCAGGAAAAATTTACAATTCTCACTGGCCTCTTTAAATGGCGTGTCAACTTCTTCTGCAAAGTTTCCCATTTAGTTACTGTTTAATGAATGTTTCCTTTAGCATGTTTTAACTTGTCTCAAATTAGCAGAACTCTACGGCGTTTAAAAACCTCCGAACTTGTGTGATCACAGGAACAGTCTTCATATTCCTTTATGATGATGAAGGAGTCTTACCACAAATGCTGATATGCTCCCAGGATCAGGTTGGACCGGGTTCAGGCCCCGCAGGCTTCAGGGAGGGTTTGGACTGAGCAACCAGCTCTGGGGGTCAGACTGGCAGGAGGAGAGGGATGTTGGGAAGGTTCCACACAGACACCTCCCACTCTGGTGTGGGAGGGCAGTGGAGTGTCATGTGGGAGAGAGAGTGAGAATGTATTCATGTGTAGGTGTGAAGTTTGTAGATCCTCTCGGTCGTTCATCTGTTCTGCAGCCTTAAGACCACGGCAAGTGTGACACAGGCAACCTGATCACCTTATTGACATTCAAGTGTGATTACATAGGTGTTTGGAAGATGTATAATAATGGAGAAAGACATGACCTACAATACAAAGATGGAGGAAATCTAATAGAAAACATTGTCATGTTTACACACACACACACACAAAGCAAATGTGTAGACACCCTAAGTGCCATTTTATGAGTTGCTTAACAGGAGCCATGAGAAAAAAAAATATGTATTTTTGATGGCCAAATTTAAATCGAATACAGGAACCATTAATGGAGACATTTTTTTTTAAATAAATTCTTTTGACGATTCCCTGGTGAATACTCTGATTTGCCAAGAATAGCAGATTCAGCCACAATATGCTCAAACATTCTAGATTAAATTAGAAAAATAAAAAAAGGTTCTTTTATTTAAGGCACCTACTCAAGCTTAATTAGCCAACAGTGGTGTACCTATCCTTTCTTAGTGCGCTTACACTCCGTAACACAGGAGGGCGCCAATTCCCAATAAGAGGATATATGAAAAGCAATGACAAATGGATTTGGATTTAATGTTTTCCTAGTGCTGCAGCGAGCCTCTGTTGGAACAGGCACTGATCATGGGTATGACCTGCAGCAGTGGCAGACATTTTGAAATAATCACCAGTCTGTGATGGAAGAACAAATGAGCAGAAAAGAAGTGGAACAACTTTGTCAAAGTTTTTAATGATTCTCATTCATCCAAATTTACAAGTATATTTTTACATTTATATTTTGCAACATCAGTTTTCCTGTCAGACAGATTATTGGAAGGAGTCATTTTGAGTCCACTGTTAGGTCTAAGTGCAGCTGTTTTGAGATTAACGAACAGTACATCCTTCTCAGGTTACCTGTCACTACCTTTCAGTAAAAACATGTTACATTTCGCCCTGATTCCTACGTTTCTGACCAAACTATGAAGACGAACAACTGGATCATTCATGCTGACTTTTAAGTGGCTAAATACTACAGTTTAGCTCAATGGACATTAAATCTGAGCGATTCTGTGAACCAGAATGTATCACGCAGAAAAGAGACGTATAATTGGGCGGATTCTTCTATTTTCCAGCCCATCCACAGATGAGTATTATCTTTATGTGTTGA